TATATATGTATATATATATATATATATATATATATATATATATATGATCAAATGATTGCCGTTGTCTAGAAGTAATATTATATAGTAATACACTTGCAAGAACCGAATACTAATGCACAATGTTCAGCAATCACGTATAATTGTTATGGCATTAAGGGAGTTTTAGCTCAAGGTTTAGCTCTTGATTTTGTTCCTCGCAAATCTTCAAGGACAAAGTCTGATTTTACAAGGGTTATTTGGCACAACAAGTGGCTGTGGTGAAGGCTGAATGAGATAAGATGGAAAGGTTCTCATGTTACTGCCACTTTAGGGTGAATTGTTTTGTATTCCTCAGTCGCTGTGAATACAAGTGCATGCTAAATTAATAAGTGTATCAGATATGATAAGTGCTACAGTGCTGAGCATAGTGTGTTTTACAGGTTTGACTCAGAGATTCTGACGGAGGGCTATGTGGATGAGAGCGGAGTGGGTCACTGTATCACTCCTCTGCTCTACGAGTTGGGCTGGATCTCTTTTGAGGTGTCCACAGATGGAGTCAGCTTCGACAGATCAGGGCGGTGGCTCTCAGGTGAGCTACAGAATCATAATGCACACTGAGGGAAAGTCAATGAAAGTGTACCTTATTTGCATACTTCTTATTCATCAGTGAAAGTTATTCCAAATAATCTGATTCAAATGCATGCTGTTTCAAAAGTATTGTGACATTATTTGTTAACCTTGGAGACATTTCTTTTGCATTCCTTTCTAGAACATTCCTTCAGTCTTGTTCCTAGCTAATATCAGTTATGTTCGTATGGTTATTGCATAGTGGCCTAATTAAATATTTTTGTCAGACCTCCTGAAGCATATGATATCAGCAAGTTCACTGCAATATTTTAGTTTTAATGTAGAAGAGTTTTTTTTAAGATAAGACTGATTGATGCTCTGTCTGATTGATCAGTCCACCACAGTAAGCTGGGTCCTGATTACAAGATCATTCTGGTCAATGACAAACAGTGGCAGTACTACGGCACTCCTGACGTCAGCGGGGATCTAGAGATGATCTGGATCTCATCTCTAATAAAGGCAGAGAGAGTCAACATCGAGCTGTGGGGTTACAATGAGACTGGTGAGTCCATCCATCCATCCACAGATTTTTTGTTCATTCTGTCTGTCTGTTGGTCAGTCAGTCGGTTGTTCTGTCGGTCATTCTGTAATTCTGTCTGTTGGTTCTTCTTTTTGTCTGCCTTTTGTACTGTTTTTCTGTCTGTCAGCTGTTGTGTCTTTCTGTCTGATTGTTGTTACTACTTGTAACGAAGTGTGTACTACTTGTGCAATAATAGTGTTGTATCGTATTATTTCTGTCTGTTGTTCTTTCTGTCGGTTGTTTGTTTTGTCATTCTGTCTGTCAGTCGTTCTGTTATTCTGTCTGTCAGTTGTTCTTTCTGATGTTTGCGTTGCTGTATTATTCTGTCTATCAGTTTTTCTTTCTGTCGGTCGTTCATTTAGTCTTTCTGTCTGTTGTCTTTCTGTTTGTTTTGTTTTTTTCTTTCTGTTATTCTCTCAGTCAGTCGTTCAAAGCTAACACCATGTTTCCTAAAAAATATCTCCCAAGGGTAACATGTAGAGCGTGAAAAGTAATGGTCCTAGTACTGAGCCTTGAGGTACTCCATACTGCACTTGTGATTGGTATGATACCTCTTCATTCACTGCCACGAACTGATGGCGGTCAGATAAGTACGATTTGAACCATGCCAATGCACTTCCTCTAATGCCAACATAATTTTCTAGCCTATTCAAAAGAATGTCTGTCATTTGTTCTGCCTTTCTGTCTGTTGGTCTTTCTGTCTTTCTCTCTGATGGTCAATCTGTTGTTCTTTCTTTTGGTGTTTCTGTTTGTCTGTCTTTCAATTTCTTTGTCTATATATCTGTCTACCAGTCTGTTTATCATTATAACTGTCTATTGAAAATGCATACAGGAGATAATATATTATTATGATAAACTAACAGGAGAGGAATATTCTGCGAACTGGGAGGCGGAGTGGAAGTATCTGTACACCGTGGGCAGGGATGTACCCAACAGTGGAGTTTTCAGTTTCACCCCACAGATCGCCGAAAAACCATACTTCCTTTGGGACATAGGGAGCATACGGGTCAGCCCCAGCACTAAACCAGACGGAGCCCAGTAAGAACATTTATTAGTTAATATTAGACATGCACAGTTTTGGGAAGGTTACTTTGGAAATGTAATAGGTTACAGATTATAAGTTACCCTATTTAGAATGTAATAAGTAGTGAAACTATTTCAATTACTTCATTAAAGTAATGTAACTGATTACTTCTCAATTACTTTCCTACATTTCTAACGAATGCTTTCAACTGTTAATCATTTTGAAACATTTAAACCAAGCCGGGTTAACCTTACAGTAGACTTCTGAAATTCTTCATCACATGAATTAAGATCATAAATCATTTCATTTTAAAGCACAGCCAGCACAAAATCAGACTTCAGCACCTCTTTTCATCTTATGATCATTCTGAGGTTAAATACATATTTAAAATCATAACAAGATCTGGTTTAATAGCTATGATACTGTTTTTGAAATCAAATCGTTGCATAACTATGACAGGAAACACTGGCATCAGTGTCTTAAAAAACCTTACAAAATAAAGCATATACATAAAACAGTTATCAAATAAGCATGTGTCCTAAACTCCTGAAACATTGGTGTCTCATATTTTAGAGCAGTCAGTGCAATTTGGAAAAGAAATCAATCAAACATGCATGTTTGAAAAATATTGAGATGTAACCCCCCTTTGTAATCGTTAACGTTTTAATAAGTAAATGTAATTTAATTACACTTTTTTTTCTTAGTAACTGTAACAGGTTACAGTTACATTTATTGGTAACACTTTATTTTAAGGTGTCCTCCTTGTTACACGTTACATCTACTTACTATTTTAATAACAATAAGGTATGCGTAATTACATGCAAGTAACCCTAAGCCGAACTCTAATCCTAACCCTAACCATATAGTAAGTGCATGTATTTAATTAATATTACTCAGTACTTAAATGTATAATTACACTGTAACAAGGACACCTTAAAATAAAGTGTAACCCGTTTATTTTGTAATTAAATGATGTAATTCTGTTACATGTAACTAGTTACTCCCCAACAGTATTAGCATTTGTTTTTATAGTTTTTATAATTAAATGGTGTAAAATATTATGGTTCCACTATCCAAATGTTTGAACAAAGACATTCTTTTTTTGTGTGTGCAGGAATGTTAACGCCCTGTGGAGTGAAGCGCATGCGATCGCCTGGCATCTTGAGGAGGCCTTCAGGACGGACTCTGCAGGCTGGGCCCTGGAGAAGTGCATCAATTGGGATAAAGAAGAGAAAGCAATGCCCAACTTCCTGACTGAGATCACCGATTGCCCCTGCACATTGGCCCAGGCCCGTGCTGACACCGGAAGATTTCATGTAGGTGTAGAGCAGTAAATCAATCTGACATTGTTTTAGACACCACAGTGTGTAACACTAGCAATTATTGGAGAATTCCACCCATTTATATTTGTAATCATAGATGCATTGGTGAAACCGCTTTAATTAAACGTAATATAGCTACATATATTTAAGTGTCTATGTTAGAGCTCCTTTTGATGAGTTGTGTGTTTATTTTTCAGACCGATTATGGCTGTGATATCGAGGCAGGTAGTTTCTGTGTTTACCATCCAGGTGCGGTTCACTGCGTCAGAGCCATTCAGGGCAGGTAATATGTCAAGATTGTGTCAAAGCAGCTTAGTGATAAACATGAAAATAGTGTGTATGGAGACTTACTATAGACTCAACTATAGAGATACAGCAAATTCTGCTGTACAAGGACAATAGCTTGAGTCAGCATACACGATAAATCATATTTAACTGTGATTGCAATTTCTGCTTCTCTCGATATATTAAGCATAATCATCTGCGATATTTGCCCACTGGTTATTTATCCTGAAACAAGCCTTTCGCTTAAATCGATGCATTTTCTGCCCAATGGTTTACTTAATTTACCTGGCAGAATATTATGGGAAAAGCGCTGATGATCTGAAAACGCTGGCAAACTATTTGGAGATTAGCCATCTCTATTGAGAAATTCTACTCAAATATGTCTTATCAAATGTATATTTTTGTCTTTCAAATGGATTTGTGAGCAAACCATCATGCAAGTTGATGTTCTCTTGATTTGTGCTCGTGTGTGATTTGATTTATTTCAATTCGATTCAGTTCAAGTTTATATGTATAGCGCTTTTCACGATGCAAATCATTGCAAAGCAGCTTTACAGAAAATTTCAAATTTCTACATTATATTTAGGAGTAGGTTATTAGTGGTGACTATGACAGAAATGTACAGCAAAAAATCATGCAGTTAGTTACAAATAATGCTTATTTATGCTTATTTCATTATTTTAATTACCTATTGACAGCTGATTTTTTTTTCATCTTTGTGTGTGTGTGTGTGTGTGTGTGTGTGTGTGCACATTGTGGCATGGAAAATGTATCAATTTTAGTGTCATTATTATTAATTATTTAAGATTCAATTAAAAAAAGAAAATGCAGATCATCTATACACAAGGTTGTAAGTACATTTTGTAATGTACTTACCCAATATATTGATCTTTCACTAATTTTATTATTATTTTATGTTGATATCAATGCATGTGTGTACATTAGACAATAATATAATCTCAAAGTAGACAGCATACAGTGTCCAAAACGTAACTTTTTTTATAATGCATTCTCATTCATGTAAATATGTTTAATTTTGTGTGTCAGATTTAGTCTGTTGATGTATTTTTTGTCTTGCAGTCCCGAGTATGGTGCGGGTCAGCAGTGTTGTTATGACAGCACTGGAGCTCAGGTGCTCACGGGAGACTCTATCGGTGGCAGCACCCCAGATCGAGGGCACGACTGGGGCGAGCCTCCGTACAAGAAACCACCCAGAGTCCCAGGGTTCTCTCACTGGAAGTATGATGTAATCAGCTTCTACTACTGCTGCCTGTGGTCAGACAACTGCAGATACTACTTCACTCACCGCCCGTCCAGCGACTGCAGAACATATCGTCCTCCTAGAGTCGGTAAAGAAAATATCCGTAACACATTTATTTTATTTTTTTTTATTGTTGAATGCTTTTTATTTTATTTTCTATTTTATTTTATAATTTTTTTTTATACTTTTTATTTTATTATTTTATTTTGAAGTTTTATTTAATGCTTTTTATTAATTTTTTTATTTAATTTTGTAGTTTTATTTAATGCTATTTATTTTATTTTATAGTTTTATTTAATGCTAATTTTATCGTTTTATTTCATGCTTTTTATTTTATTTAATGCTTTTTTATTTTATTTTATTTGAAGTTTTATTTAATGCTTTTTATTTTATTTTATAGTTTTATTTAATGTTTTTATTTTATTTTATTTTATAGTTTTATTTAATGCTTTTTATTTTATTTTATTGTTTTATTTAATGTTTTGTATTTTATTTTATAGTTTTATTTAATGTTTTGTATTTTATTTTAGTTTTATTTAATGCTTTTTATTTTATTGTTTTATATAATGCTTTTTATTTTATTTTATTGTTTTATTTAATGTTTTTTATTTTATTTTATTGTTTTATATAATGCTTTTTATTTTATTTTATTTTATTTGAAGTTTTATTTAATGCTTTTTATTTTATTGTTTTATATAATGCTTTTTATTTTATTTTATTGTTTTATTTAATGTTTTTTATTTTATTTTATAATTTTATTTAATGCTTTTTATTTTATTTTATTTTATAGTTTTATTTCATGCTTTTTATTTTATTGTTTTATATAATGCTATGTATTTTATTTTATTGTTTTATTTAATGCTTTTTATTTTATTTTATAGTTTTATTTAATGCTTTTTATTTTATTTTATTTTATTGTTTTATATAATGCTTTTTATTTTATTTTATTGTTTTATTTAATGCTTTTTATTTTATTTTATAGTTTTATTTAATGCTTTTTATTTTATTTTATTTTATTGTTTTATATAATGCTTTTTATTTTATTTTATAGTTCTATTTCATACTTTTCATTTTATTTTATAGTTTTATTTAATGTTTTGTATTTTATTTTAGTATTATTTAATGCTTTTTATTTTATTGTATTGTATATTTTAATAATCCCTTCTTTTCATTAGCTGCTGTACTTGGTGACCCCCACTTTGTGACATTCGATGGTGTGACTTTCACCTTCAACGGGAAAGGAGAGTACGTTCTGGTTTCCTCCTCAGACCATGAGCTGTCTGTGCAAGGCAGGACTGAACCCATGAGATTTGAGAACGGTGAGTTCTGCCAGCTTCCGTATTAAGGATGGATTGAATCAGACCTGGGCTAAGAACACTGTTCCTCCAGGTACTGTTGCTATGGCGACACGACTCAGTTCGGTGGCCATGCGGGAGAACGCCTCTGATGTCATCGAGGTGCGTCTCGGAGACCGAGTAGATGAGCTGCAGGTCTTAATGAACCAACAGGTGCTTTCCTTCTCTGAGCAAAACTGGATCGACCTTTCGGGTAAGACCAGTTTATTCATCCTCTCAAAGTCCGCTTTAGCCAAGCACAGTTTAGAAGTACAAAATAAATAATTAAAATTCAGCACCCAATCAGCATATTAGAAAGATTTCTGAAGGATCATGTGACACAAAAGACTAGACTGACGGCTGATGAAAATTCAGTTTTGCCATCACGGTAATAAATTGCGCTTAAAAATGTATTCTAATATAAAAGCGTTTTTTAAATTGTAATAATATTTTACAACATGACTGTTTTTACTGTATTTAATAATAAAAACAATTTTAATAAAAATGTTAAAAAATCTTTTGAACAGTAGTGTGTTTTTGTAAATTGCATACTTATTGGCAAATAATTGAGCAAAATTAGCCATTTTAATTAGTCTCTTCAACAGTTGTATCTTTAAATTATTTATAGTAAGTTTCTTTTTTCTCTCTATTTTTTCAGAGAGAGTAGTGAGTTTATTACAAACAATGTTTGCTAAATAAATTAATGTATTAAAGTATTGACATAATTTATCATTTACATAAATGTAATCATTGACCTTCATACTTTCTGTTAATACCGTTTAATGTTAATATTATTTCAGCAGATGTACAAGACGAGAAATCATGATCTGTTACGCTTGGCAGACTGATTTATGTTACGTGTTGTCTGTTTTTTTTTGTGTCTTGTCCCAGGTGTTTTTGTTTTTTCCTCTAAAGCCACTAATGTGACTGTGATGTTTCCGTCGGGGACGGGGTTAGAGGTCAGGGCAGGTGAAGGGGTCATGACCTTTACCGTTTTACTGCCACATGACTTACAGAACCACACGCTAGGGCTGCTCGGCACAATGAATGACGACCCTGAAGATGATCTGACCTCGAGTAATGGAGTGATCATCCCTCTCAACAGCAGTGCACTGGACATATTCACCTATTGTGCTGGCTGTGAGTAACCGCGTCACTTTTACATTGCTTTACTGCCAGTTCAGTCAGTGCCTGATGAAACTGAAGGAATCAGAAATCAATATTTATACTGCTGGTCATCTGATATCATTTACTTTCAGTGTTGGGGAAAGTTACTTTTAAAAGTAATGCATTACAATATTGCGTTACTCCATAAAAAAGTAACTAATTACGTTACTTTTTATGGGACGTAATGCGTTACGTTACTTTTGAGGTACTTTTTATATCTGGACAGGGCTTGCTTGTTTGTTTTTAATATAAAAAAGTTATATTTTTGGCAAATATAAAAGCCTTTTCACACCAGACGTGAAATGAATAAACCTCAGGCTGAAGGGAAAGTACAGTAGAATGCAGAAGAAGACATTTCAGCACACTTCAGCAATAAACAAAGACACACAAATGTTTGTCTAGAGTAATTTGTGTTTATTAGTACGGCTGAACTGGATCATCGAAGGTCAGAAGCAAAGACATTGGTTAATAGAATGGGATTAAATACATAAAGCATATTTGTGTTGTTTAACATGAGATGAATTAATGCATATTCATATTTATTTCAGAGCTACAGTAACATCTGATTTCTCTCAGCATGGGGACACCAGAGCTGTCAGTCAATAAATTGGAAAAAAAAGTAACTTGCGTTACTTATTTGAAAAAGTAACTCAGATATTCTCTTGTAAATTAAAAAGTAATGTTACTTTACTAGTTACTTGATAAAAGTAATCTGATTACGTTACTTGTAATGCGTTACCCCCAACACTGTTTACTTTACATTTACTGTATTTAAGAAAGGCTCCATCTGTTGTAAAGCTACAGTTTACTAATTCAAAGCCGTTTCATATTTATTTTGTGACTTTCATGTGGCTTTAATGGAATCACAGATTTAGTCCGTCACGTAAATACTGTAAATGCAGATGTCCCTTTTTTAGCAGCCGTTATCGGCTTTATTGATTAATGATCGTGGAGTTTATTATCCAACTTGATGAGCCTATTTGTGAAACTTTCAGATAAAGGATTTTCATTGAACTCAGAGGTTTGTGTATAGGCACTCTTTTATTACCGCCATCACTCACGACTCATTATTTATCATCAGGAAATTGTAGGAGAGCATTTTTCTTGATATATGTTTGCTCGCACACCGCTCACACCGCTGCAGTCAGACTACACTCTGAAAAATAAAGGTGCATCGCTTTTACCTTTTTCTTTCTGTCTATGTGTTTCTCTTTATTTTCTCTCTTAAGCACCTGTATAAGGTGCATTTTTTTGCATTATAGTAAAATTGCAAGTTCTTTGTTTTGAAATGTAAAGCTGTCAAGCTTTTATTTTGGCGGAAGCCCACAGGGAGCCCTTAAAGCTTCACTGTTGTTGACAGCAGCCGGTTTATAAGCGCATCTCATTACAATTTTGGAAAGATAGTTGGCACATGTTAGGTTCCTAAATGCATGTTATGAGCAACCCAAACTCAGAGCAGATCTAGAGATGGAGTTCATGTGGAGCAGCATTTACTGCAAACTGAGCGGCTCTGAGACACTAGAAACACTGGATCATGCCGCTTGCGTGTAAATGAACACAGTGCAGCGCTTCACTCTGAAACACGCAGGACATCTCGCAGCTTTTGTGATTTGATAATCACACTAAGCCATATTTCAATTTTGGGTTTTAATTGCGATTGCGTTTTCCCCCTCTCTTCTCTGAATTTGAATGTTTATTTTTAGCTACTAACATCTACAGTATTCAATTCAAGTTTATTTGTATAGCGCTTTTCACGATACAAATTGTTGCAAAGCAACTTTCCAGCAAATTAAGTTTCTACAATATTTAGTGGTAGCTTATCAGTGGTGACTGTCAGTTAATGTTGTTCACGAGAATGACGTGGGACCAGTTCGGTGGGGGTTTTTTCATTTGCAAAAGTAATTTTTCAGCTGTCATAAAGGATTCGCACAGATCCGCTCTAGTTAGCATGAAAGCACAGCCTACAGATAACCCCCCTCCATACATGTACATCTTTTCATTCTCATGGTATGGCCATATCTGTTGCTCTTGAGCTTGTCTATAGTCATTATCTTTGTCTGGCGCTCTTAAGAGCTGACATGTGTCATAGTGAGCGAGGGGCTCAGGGCTCCATCTCCGCTTGAATTGATAGTTGCACTACACCTCTGTTTACTCCCATGTTGCAAAACAATGTGGGGTCTCAGCAATCTTTCTCCCTCTTATCTGTTCCTCTGCTTTCCCTCTCTGGCTCTCTCCTTCTCTTTCTATTGTTTTGGCTACTGGCTGATAAAGGTTGACATTCTAGCCCACATACCCCTCGAGCATGTCAGTGGCGCTGGGATCAAAGAGCTGCCCGGGCCTGTAATTGACTTCCCATTACAGCGCTCTGAACCCCCAGCAAATAACCCTCAACGGTTAGTTATTTGCATGCATTCCAGCACTGTTCATATTCAGAGGAGCAAAAAGCAGCAAAGTGAGGGTGAAATGAAGTGAAAAGTGCAGGTTAACAAAAAGGACAATCGTGTGGCATGTGCAGGGCTGCAAGCAATAATTATTTTTAAAATCTGTCAATTATTTCCTCAATTAATCATCATTTCAAACATCTCCCAAAGAATGTGTGCATACTTTTTCAAATATAAATCAGTGATTTTAACTAGTTAAAGAAATGAAACAAAATCAGTTTTTTACAGATGTAATCAAAAATGGCTCTTGTTCCAGATTAGATGGATATAATGTTGGAACTTGTTAATAATGTAATTATTGAGTTCTGGAATTTTTTTATTTTTTTTTCACACAGTAATCTTTCTAATTTCGAAAATTTCCTGTTTTTATGAGGAGAAGAGTTCACCTGTCCGGTGCTCTTTTTGCAATTTTTCTAAAAGTACATGAAGTACACAAAATATGTATACTGTATATACATTTAAAATGTAATGTAATTAAAAAAATTAATGACAATTTTTGTAGATTGATATTTTTGTGTATACCATGAAAAGAGCAACATTTATTTGAGTTATACATTTTTTTTGTAACATTACAAATCTTCTTATTGTCACTTTTGATCAATTTAAAGCATTTTAACTGTATTTTCATCACACACACACATGTAAAACTTCAACTTAATGTGTTCAATTGAATATATATATATATATATATATATATATATATATATATATATATATACATACATACATACATACACACACACACACACACATTCAATTTAATGTGTGTTCAGTTGATTATATGTAAATATATATCCAACTAAGTGTGTTTTAAAACCTGTAAATACACAGGTTTTAACAACAAGAAGACTTTTTTTTTTTTTTTAATTTAAAAATGGGAATGCTTTGTTCCTGTTGAAGGACCCAGCTAATCTGTTATGAAATTTAAGGTTGATTCTTGTCAATTTGATTACCAATTTTATCGAATTGATGTTGCAGCCCTAGTTTTGAGAATCAATAGCGCTGTTTTGTTTGGTCTGACCTCATGAAGCCCATCTGGACTCTGTGTTTGTATAAGTGTGCTTCACTGCTCTGCAGATGCCCTGAGTCTCTACATATGGCACTGATGCTGTACCGCTTTGTCGAATTACACTGGTTATAACTCTCTCTCCGTAAAGAGTCACAAGATGGGGAAAAAGGAGGCTACGGGGAAGCAAAGAAGTAGGTTAGGAAGAGCAGTAGACATGAAAAAGAAATCATCTCTCCAAATTCCAAGAACAGAGAGAGATATTTATTCATAAAGGACACTCACATATGAGTGCACATCCCAATGAGACCCTGGAGGATGCAGAACGGCATGAAGGGGCACGGAGAAATGACAGACACAGCCGCCAGTGAAAATGCATTGTGACAGACTGAACTCCGCTGCAGAGAGAGTAGGAATATGATGCAGAACCGAACTGACAGCGCGAGTTTAGCCGCTAACTTGCTCTTTTTCTTGTTCCCAAGGCAACGTGCCATCAGGGTCCAGGTCACCTGCAGCCCTCGAGTGCATGTGAGGGGCTAGAAAAACATGTGCAAAAGCAATGAGGTCTGCACTGTTGACACCACTACCTTTGCAGTGCAGCAAAGACAGTGCTGTGAACATTATGAAGTGAAGCCAGCAGAGTATTATTAGTGCTGCTTTTAATTGCTCATAAGTTTGGATCGGTAGGATTTTTTTTTGTATTAAAAAAAAGTATCTTATGCTCACCAAGGCTGAATTTGGTGGATTAAGAATACAGTAAAAACAGTGTTATTGTGAAATAGTATTGCGATTTAAATGATATATTTCTGTTGTAATAGTTTGAAATATAATTTATTCCTGTAATGGTAAAGCTGAATTTTCAGCAGCCATTAATTCAGTGTCACATGATCCTTCAGAAATCATTCTAATATGCTGATTTGGTGCCCAAGAAACATTATTATTATGAATGTGCTGCTTTAATTTTTTTTTTATTAATTTTTTTTTTTTTTTTTTTTTTTATTTTTTTTTTTTTTTTTTTTTGGTGAAAACTGCAACAGGTTGTTATAGTTAACTGAAACTAAAACCATAAAAAAACTTTTTCGTTATTTTAAATAAACTTTCAATTAAATATAAACGTTATAAACGTTATTTCAGCTAGTTGCAAAGGCTGCATTTCTCATTCTCCTTTAGTTTAGCTTGATCTGCTGAAATAAATTAAAACCAAAAAATAATAAAAACTATATAGACATTTAAAAAAAACACGATACAAAACTTTAACTTAAATTCAAATGAAAACAGAAAATATAAATAATAATAAAAAAAACTAATAGTATCTAAATGGTACTAAAATAAAAATAAATTCTTAGGATTCTTTGATGAATAGAAAGTTCAACAGGTATTTTTTTTAAATAGATTTTTTTGTCGCATTTGATCAATTTATTGCTTTCTTGCTTAATACTAATGTTCTTAAAAAAAAAAAAAAAGTGTATTGCATGCCTTTAAGCAGAACTGTGCACTTACTTTTCTAAGTCGTCTGACTGACCTGATCATAGAC